CTGATCAGTCTAGAAGGTAAATTAAAGGATTAGAGTAATTTATTGTGCAAGGGCGTCCAGCAGGCAGAGTGAGGTATCCATAAGCTTAGGGACAGTTAACTTTGGCTCATTCATTTAGAACAATGTTAAAATACAAGTGGTGGCCAATAGCTTAAAAATATATACACTAAAAAAGGTTATCAAAATTGAGGAAAAAAAAAAAAAAATAAAAAATAAATATATATATACAGTGGGGCAAAAAAGTATTTAGTCAGCCACCAAATTGTGCAAGTTCTCCCACTTATAAAGATGAGAGAGGCCTGTAATTGGCATCATAGGTAAACCTCAACTATGAGAGACAAAATGAGAAAAAAAATCCAGACAATCACATTGGCTGATTTGGAAAGAATTTATTTGCAAATTATGGTGGAAAATAAGTATTTGGTCACCTACAAACAAGCAAGATTTCTGGCTCTCACAGACCTGTACCTTCTTCTTTAAGAGGCTCCTCTGTCCTGCACTCATTACCTGTATCAATGGCACCTGTTTGAACTTGTTATCAGTATAAAAGACACCTGTCCACAACCTCAAACCAGTCACACTCCAAACTCAACTATGGTGAAGATCAAAGAGCTGTCGAAGGACACCAGAAACAAAATTGTAGACCTGCACCAGGCTGGGAAGACTGAATCTGCAATAGGCAAGCAGCTTGGTGTGACAAATCAACTGTGGGAGCAATAATTAGAAAATGGAAGACATACAAGACCACTGATAATCTCCCTCAATCTGGGGCTCCACGCAAGATCTCACCCCGTGGGGTCAAAATGATCACAAGATCAGTGAGCAAAAATCCCAGGAACACGCGGGGGGACCTAGTGAATGACCTGCAGAGAGCTGGGACCAACGTAACAAAGGCTACCATCAGTAACACACTACGCCGCCAGGGACTCAGATCCTGCAGTGCCAGACGTCTGAAGTTTGCTAGAGAGCATTTGGATGATCCAGAAGAGGATTGGGAGAATGTCATATGGTCAGATGAAACCAAAATAGAACTGTTTGATAGAAACACAACTCGTCGTGTTTGGAGGAGAGAGAATGCTGATTTGCATCCAAAGAAACACCATACCTACTGTGAAGCATGGGGGTGGCAACATCATGCTTTGGGCTGTTTCTCCGCAAAGGGACCAGTACGACTGATCCATGTACAGGACAGAATGAATGGGGCCATGTATCGTGAGATTTTGAGTGCAAACCTCCTTCCATCAGCAAGGGCATTGAAGATGAAACGTGGCTGGGTCTTCCAACATGACAATGATCCCAAACTTACGGAGTGGCTTCGTAAGAAGCATTTCAAGGGCGACCTGGAGTGGCCTAGCCAGTCTCCAGATCTCAACCCCATAGAAAACCTTTGGAGGGAGTTGAAAGTCCGTGTTGCCCAGCGACAGCCCCAAAACATCACTGCTCTAGAGGAGATCTGCATGGAGGATGGGCCAACATACCAGCAACCGTGTGTGCCAACCTTGTGAAGACTGCTTACAGAAAACGTTTGACCTCTGTCATTGCCAACAAAGGATATATAACAAAGTATTGAGATTAACTTTTCATATTGACCAAATACTTATTTTCCACCATAATTTGCAAATAAATTCTTTCCAAATCAGCCAATGTGATTGTCTGTATTTTTTTTCTCATTTTGTCTCTCATAGTTGAGGTCTACCTATGATGCCAATTACAGGCCTCTCTCATCTTTTTAAGTGGGAGAACTTGCACAATTGGTGGCTGACTAAATACTTTTTTGCCCCACTGTATATTTATATATATATATATATATATATATATATACTGTATATACACACACACACAATAAAAAAAAAAACAACTAAAAAATAAATAAATTTATATTAAATAAATGAATGGATAATAAACCAGCCGCCAAATAAAGTAAATATGTGTAAAAAAATAATAATACATTTATATATTCAAAGACTGATCCTCAATAAAGTCCATTAAATAAGGTCCATATAGAAAAGATGTGATCTTCAATCAATAAAGTTATGGAATCTTTCTCAAGTCCACCACCAATGTAAATACTCCAGTGCTCAACACCCCATCAAAGTGAAAACTTACCAGATACTGGTGATAAACCAGCATATCTTTAAACTCAGTAGATGTGAGAAGAATCCTCAGCATATCATTAGCAATCAGCAGATGATCCCAGTGATCTCCATCACAATGAACATAGGTCACATGTGAACAAAGTAGAAAACACTCTCCATAGCGTAATACCGTTTCAGAAGTTTTATTCTAACAAATACCCCCATAAAAACCGCACTCACATTGGGTAAGTGCAAAAAAAGCCTTTTATAATTAAAATCTTTCAGCCTGCAGCGCTTAGTACACCGCTTCCTACACACACAGTGGTGTCTCACCAGCCTGCAACAGATGAGGCGATTGTGGTCACGTGGTCCGGACACGTGATATGGTGTGCATGATGACGTCACTGTTGGTTCACGCTCTGTCAGGAATGGACTGGTCAGCAATAGTGGGACTCAGCTGCCTTATGAGCTGCAGTACCAGGGCTGGCCAGCGGGTGCTGCCCAGCAATCAGAGACTCAACCTTGCAGCCAGTCAAACACCTGGAACTAATTATACTGGTGTATTTAAGGGACATTCAGACCTGCAGACTCTGCCTTGGTGTTGTGTTTCTCTTGGGCCCTGTATCCTGTTCTTGCTCTCTGTTCCTGTCTGATTCTCTGCTGACCCTGCTCTGATCCCTGGCTTGTCTGACCATTCTCCTCTGCCTGACCCTCTGTACCACGCTGCCCGCTACCTGCTGAACTGGCCTGTGACCCCGACCATTCTCCGCTTGCTCCCCCTGTACTACCTGCCCGACTGATATTGACCCGGCCTGCCTGACGACACTTGCATTGTATGTACTGTTATCTGGGGGTGGTTGGTTTGTTTGCACTGTGTTATGTTTTAGTATTGCACTGCGTTTATGTTTGTATGGTTAGTGTTAATAAATTACATTGTTTATAACATATCTGAAGTCTGCGTTTCCCTGCGTCAGTCACACACCTCTGGTCACACCCGGGAGCCCTGACATTACACCAAGGCCAATCCTGACCGGAAGTGGCTGCACAGGGAAGCCATCTTGGCTTGTTGATGGGAAGGATGGATCTGGATGAGGTTGCGTATTTATATCTGCTAGTGTTTGATGACAGGGAGTATGCTTATCAAACTCTGAAGGAGTATACCCGGGATGAACTGCTAGAATGTATACGGCTCGCTCATGTTCTAGTAGATCAGGGCACAGAGTTCTCTGAGGTGCAGCCTTTGATTGAGGTTTGTGCTGAGTTGGTTTCATCTGGTACCCCCGAATGCAGGGATGAATTTTTGCCACCATTTAGTGCAGACCAGGTAGAGTCCCTGGTGTGGTTATTAGAGGATGATGTGGGTTACTTTCTGGAGCGTTATTCTGCATGTTCACCACAGACACTAAGAGATTGTATAAACGCAGTGCAGTCATTGACCAGACAGGCTTTGTGTAAGCTGAGCTTTGTTCAACCCATACTGCAGACATGGACAGACTTGTTGCACCCAGCCTCAGTCAGCTTACAAAAACCCAGTCCTGCTTCTAATCTATTTCCTCAAAACTCTATTCCTGCATTCCCAACAGCTTCCTCCTGCCCTGCTATCTACCGCATGTCAGTACCCTGTTCCCACTCGCTGCACCTATCCTGCCTTTAACCCTGTAAAAAAGCCCTCTGTAGCAACTGCTCCCTCCCCTGTTCCATCCTCCAGTTCTCTGTCTCCAGCTGCTCCATTCGTTTGCAGACCTGCGTTTACTTGCAGTGCTCCAGTAGTTAAAACCAGAAAAAAGCGAAAATTCTTTCCAACCAATACCATCCTGCCAGTATCCAAACCGGTGAACCTGCCTTCCGTGGTTCAGCCTGAAGCCTCTACTCGGCCTGAATCCTCTACTCGGCCTGATGCCTGTACTCGGCTGATGCCTGTACTCGGCCTGATGCCTCTACTCGGCCTGAAGCCTCTACTCGGCCTGAAGCCTCTACTCGGCCTGAAGCCTCTCGGCCTGATGCTCTACGGCCTGATGCCTCTACTACTCGGCCTGAAGCCTCTACTCGGCCTGAAGCCTCTACTCAGCCGGACGCCGGCATTCAGCTGATGCCTCTACCCAGCATGATGAACTGATCCAGCCTGACGATCCTATTAGGCCAGTTGACTCGATGCCCGCTGTTGATCCAGATGATCCGGTACCTGATCCGGTGCCCGCTGTCGTGCCAATGGACTCGGAGCCCGCTGTCGTACCTGGTGACTCGGTGCCCCACTGCCTTGCCACTGCCCGCTGGCGAGCCAAATGACCTGATGCGGGTGCCCAGTGCCGCATACTGGTGACCGATACCCGCTGTCGAGCCAGACGATCCCAATGCCTGGTGACCCGGTGCCCACTGCCTTGCCAGATGACGCGGTGCCCGCTGGCAAGCCAAATGGCCTGATGCTTGGTGACCCAGTGCCCGCTGTCATACCTGGTGACCCGATGCCCGCTGTCGAGCCAGACAATCCGGTACCTGATGACCCGGTGCCCACTGTCGTGCCTGTTGACTCGGAGCCCACTGCCTTGCCAGATGACGCGGTGCCCGCTGTCGAGCCAAATGACCTGATGCCTGGTGACCCGATGCCCGCTGTCCAGCCAGACGATTCAATGTCTGACCCAGTGCCCGCGGTCATGCCAGTTGACTCGGAGCCCACTGCCTTGCCAGATGACGCGGTGCTCGCTGTCGAGCCAAATGACTTGATGCCTGGTGACCCGATGCCCGCTGTCCAGTCAGACGATCCAATGTCTGACCCAGTGCCCGGTCATACCAGTTGACTCGGAGCCCACTGCCTTGCCAGATGACGCGGTGCCCGCTGTCGAGCCAAATGACCTGATGCCTGGTGACCCGATGCCCGCTGTCCAGCCAGACGATCCAATGTCTGACCCAGTGCCAGCGGTCATGCCAGTTGACTCGGAGCTCACTGTCGTGCCTGGTGACTCGGTGCCCGCCGCGTCGCCTTGGGGCCCCGAGACCTGTCGCTCCGCCTGGGGGTCCGGCGCCCGCCGCTCGCCTGGGGGTCCGGCGCCCGCCGCCCTGCCTGGGGGGCCCGAGACCTGTTGCTCCGCCTGAGGGCCCGAGACCTGTCGCTCCACCTGGGGGTCCGGCGCCGCCGCTCCGCCTGAGGGCCGAGACCTGTCGCTCCACCTGGGGGTCCGGCGCCCGCCGCTCCCGCCTGAGGGCCCGAGACCTGTCGCTCCACCTGGGGGTCCGGCGCCCGCCGCTTCGCCTGAGGGCCCGAGACCTGTCGCTCCGCCTGGGGGTCCGGCGCCCGCCGCTCCGCCTGGGGCCCGATGCCTGTTGCCCCGCCTGGGGGCCGATGCCTGTTGCCCTGCACAGAAAATATAATACTCGGCATTGTGGGAGGTGAGAGATAAAACATTTGATGTGTGAATGAGCATGCATATGGACCACCAGCTCCCTACGTGCTATGGCCACCAGCGCTCCCGACCGTGCTATGGCCAGAGCTCCCGACCGTGCTATGGCCAACAGAGCTCCCGACGTGCTATGGCCAAAAG